GCCCTGAGACTCAATGTGTTCTCTAAGTTTGAGAATCTCTTAGAGAACAACCAGATGCCATCTCCAAGTCAGATGTGGTCACTAGAAACCCCAACGATGGCTCTGCCACATTCAAAGTGTCCAGGCTGCTCTTTAGTGGGGCCAGAGGCTAAACCCAGAATCTCGGTCAGAAATACTCGCATATCAGCGGTACCACCTAGAAGGGAAAGTGTGGGATTTAGAAACAAGAGTTTGAGCTCATGTCCCAAATTTATTGGCTATGAGACTTTGAATACATCATTTGGTCTCTCTGGGCCTAATTTTTCCATCCAGAAGATGGGCATAATCCTGTCTACCTCCAAGGTTTGTTATAGGAATCAAATGAGCTCAGATAAGTGATGACTTGATCACTGAACACTGCCAGAAGAGAGTTAACGCCATTACCATCCTGAACGCTTATTGATACTCTATAACATGCTTATCCCTGTGCTAGATGATGAGGGATTTTTTAAAATACAAGATACAGTTTCTGCCCCTTAAGCAGCTTATAATACAGTGAGGAAAAATGGGGAGGTGGGACATTTACCATTTATTGAGTTCCAATAGGTCTTGCCTTATTTGAGACAGTTTTCACAAAACAAAAGAAACAAGCCACCCCCTCTTGGTGCTAGGAATTAGTATCCCATACTCCATGGGTGTGGAGACTGAGGCTCAGAGGTTAAATAACTCTCCTAAGTCATAGAGCTGAGAGGCAAGGGTGGAGATTCTGTACTCTCCCTTCCACACCCCATTTCTTCAGAGTAGAAGGCTTTCATCTCACAACAGGCATGGCAAACAGTGAGAGACCGAATGGCTCTGGTGAACTGGGTGGGACAGGCTCTTGGATGTCAGGCATGGAGACTGCCATTGCAACCACTTGAGATGTCCCTTCAATACGGGGTGTTGCATCAGGGGGAGGGCCCTGCATGTGATGAGACTTACAAATGGCTGGCCAGGTGATGATGAGGTCGAGGGTCCCACAAACAAACACTTGGAGGAATTGGACATGGTTCCTGCCTTCCTAATCCCTCAAGAAGATGGAGTCTATCAAGCATCTTTATGCCAGGCATTGTGTGAGATTCCTTCACTACATGATCTTATCTGATATTTGAATCCAGATCTGATGAACATAAAGTCATTCTCTCAATCTCATGCAAAACTGAATTAACTAAAAGAGCAGCTTTTGACTGAGTGTTCAATAGAGGGGTAGCTGAGGCGCTGGGGGAGTAGTTGGGACAGGATGGGAAGGGGGCTTGGAGGAGAAGGTTTTGGAGGCTGGTCCTGAAGGCAGACACAGGACCCGGAGGTGAGGTGAGAGAAGGAAGAGCAGAGGCAAGCAGGGACATGCTCAGGGGACTCTGTGATGGGCTCTAGGGTGTTACAGGCTTTGAACGAGGACCTAAATTTGGAAATGTGTGTTGGACCAGATGGAGAAGGAAGTTGAATGCCAGGCTAAAGAGCTTGGACTTCAGTCTGTAAACTCTGGTAGCTAAGATCAGGATTATTCTTGGCAACTATTCTTAGAGCCATGGGACACCAGAGCTGGAAGGGGTGACTTGTCCAACCTCTTCCTTTCTCTGAGGCCCAGAGAGAAGTGACCCTGCAGGTCAGTGGGACCCAAGTCTATGACTCTCCATCCACTCACCTCTGCCTCTTTACTTCCACATTCCCAGCTCTGAAGCCCATAACCTGGGAAAGCGCCACAAAGATCCTCCTTATCTTAAAAACACACAACCCCATCCTTAAGCTTAAAAAGGTTATCGCCAAATAAAAGAGTGCCAAACCTCACTCATAATTTAAAAACATGCAAATCAAAGCAATAAGATACTGTGTCTCATATAACAGACTAGCAAAGTTTGGTAATGTCCATGGTTGGTGAGGGTGTGGCACTCTAGGCTATCCAATATCCCATTGGTAGGAGTCCAAGTGGGGCAGAATTTGTGAAATCAGTTTGGTAAGATCTACAAACAGTGCATCTGCATATACCTTTTTCGTTGAAACTCCCAATTGTAGGGATGTAGTCACAGACCTAGTTATACTCAATCAAGTGTGCAAAGCATATAGTTAGAGGGATGTTAACTGTAGAATATTTGTAATTGTGAAAAACTGGACAGAAAAACCCTAAATGCTCACTAGTTCACCTGTCAAACATTAACACAAAGAAATAATACACAGCCTTAAAAAAGTGTACATGTGCTGACATGGAAAATGGTTAAGTAGCAGGAAGTGAAAGAAAGCAAGCCAAGGAGGGCCGTGCACAGTATGAATCCCATTTGTGTAAGAGAATAAAAAATATGTATGATTGTAGATACATAGGAAATACCTGGAAAGATACACACAACCTGTTAATGGTGCTTTTTTCTGGGGAGAGGGACAGGACGGGGGAGGGAGTGACTCTATGCTCTTTCTTCTCTACTTTTTTCCCTTCTTTTTTGCTTTTTTTTAAAAGCATGTATTATTAAATGTAAAAAAATACTAAAATTAAAAATAAATAAGGTACTGCCAACAGCTCACAGGTATGGCTTTGACTTCTGTTGAGAGCACTCTTAAGAGACAAACTAAATAAGCCTATATTCCAAATGATAAAACAGACCCAATGTTTTTTTGTGAACATGCCTAAGGTCTAATAATCTCATACCCTTCTGTTCTTATTTTTGTTTTTTATGGTTTGCTTTATTCATTCGTCCTGTATTTACTTTGCACCTAGTGTGGCTCAGGCACTGGGACTGAAGCACAAGGCGTTAGTCTTCTGCAATTGGAAGGTTGCTTCAATCAACCAGAGACACGGTACAGCAGGGAGAAGACTTGAGAGGCAGAACAGGTGCCTGCAGAGGAACAGACCCATTTTATAAACACTTCCTAGATATTTTCTATGAGTGTGTTAAAATGAAATAGGGTGAAAGTGATAATATCCCTGCTCTCTCTAAAAGCTCCCCCTATGATGCAGACAAATACAAACAGAAAATCGCATATTGCAAACATGTGGTGAATGTGGTAATGGCGGAATGCAGGACTGTGGTGCACACTGGACACAACCCAGCCTAGGGGGTCCAGGAGGCCACCCGCAGGAATGGGGGGCCCTGGCTGAGTCTAGAAGGTTGAGTGGAGTTTGCCAGTTGGGAAGAGGAGGAGGAGGAAGTTGGGGGTGGGGAAGGTTCTTAGCAGTGAGCAGCACGGGAAGGAGCCGAACCGCAACAGGGGAGGTCGAGCTGCTCATGCACTTACCTGCTAAGGACTTCCTTCATCCTGACTGTAATGAGTGACGTGATCTCAAATTTGTGCTTTATAAAGGTCACTTTGGCCACATCTGGAGATGGAGTAGAGGAAAAGGGGTAAAGAGATACTGTGTCCTATCTGGAGCCACTTGAGCAGCACAACTGATGATTTGCACCATATTTCTGGACCACCTATTACTTAATATTTTTCTTAAATTAGCTCATTTAAAAAATAATTTATTTAAACAGCAAACTAGTGAATAAGAGGGACAGGCTCCATGTTCCAGTGTTGTACCTGGAGTTAGGGGACAGAGACTGGAAATGGCACAAGGGGACAGTGAGAAGTGTCTGGTATTGCTGATTTGGGTTCCAAGGGTCCTGGAGAACAGGGAGCATGAAGTTGGCAGGAGTAGCTGAGGGACAGCTGGCGCTGAATAAGGGCCCCAGGGGCCTCCATGTTGCTAAATTCCTCATCTTCTGTGACCTCCTGGCAGCATGTGACCAGCTGACCACGCCTTCCTCCTGCTTCGTCTTCTGTGGTGGGCTTTTCCGCTTCCATTCTTCTGCCTCCTCCGTGGATGCTCTGCTCCCCAGCCCGTCTCTTGGGAGCGCCAGGACCCAGTGTCGTCCCACTGCTGTGCAGTCATCCCGTCTCCAGGCTTTCATTGCCGTCTCTGTGCTGATGACTCCCAGAGGTCCACTCAGCCCCGACTTCTTCCCTGAACTGGACTCAGGTCCAATCGTCCACGGACACATCTACTTGGATCTCTAGTAAACACCTCGAACTTAAGTCCAGCAGTGAGGTGGGGACCCGAAGAGGCTAGGCAGACACTGGGACCCACCCTGCCCACACGAGGAGACTAGCAGTCGTTCGGTGGCCGTCACACTTGTGGACAGCGTGAGATGGAAGAGCAGGAGGTTCTAAAGCCAGGAGGCTGCGGTGGCCAAGGCGAGGAGGCAAACATCTGGGTAAAAGCCAGAGGCCTCATCAATTGGTGGACGCGGACTGAGAGGTGAGGGGGACACGAGGAGAGCGGCGCGCTTCACAGACCCCAGGCGGGAAGCTGCCCGAGGCAGCCCAGCGGCGGACAGCCGGGCGCCCGTGAGATGCGGCCGCCGGGTGGGGAGACTCCGTTCCTGGAGCAGCGCAGGACTTGGGTGGGCGGGCGCGGAAGAAAGAACTTCCTGAGCCCGGGAAGGCGGCGCCACGGCACGGCCCGTCCTGCGGGTGGGCGGCTGAGAGCTGCGACCGCAGGGCCCAGAAGGACACGATCCGAGGCCCGCGGAGGGGAGGCAGGTGCGCGCCCCCAGGCGCGCGGCCACGAGCGCCTGGCGCGCTGTGAGGACGCGACTACGCGGAGCAGCAGATCCCCGCCCCGGCGCCGCGCGCACCGGCCAATCAGGTGGCGCCGCTGTCCTCCCGGCCCGGAGGCCCCGCCCCGGGCCGTCGCGCCGCCAGCCAATGGGCTGCCGAGCCCCGTGCCCAGTGCGCGCAGCCCGCGCGGAGCCGGCTCAGAGCGAGAAAAGCGAACCCAACCCGTTGGGGCCGCCGCTCCGGACTCGCCGCCGCCACCGCCGCCGCCTCCTCCCCCCGGATCGGGTGTACTGTCCCAACCCGAAAGTCCAGTTCTGCGGCCGGGCAGCGGCGAGCGAGCGCGATGACACAGGAGTACGACAAGTGAGTGAGGCGCCGGCGCGCTAGTCCGGCCGTGCGGCCCCAGGCCGCCGCTGCCCGCCGGGCCGGCCGCACCTGCCGCGAGGCGGGCGAGGCCGGGCGGGCAGCCGGGGGTGCGAAGCCGAGCAGGCGCGGGGCGCCGGGGCGAGGCCGAACGAGGCGAGGCCGGCCGCGGGGCGCGCGTCAAGCCGCCTGCTTTCTTCTCTGCCCCCTCCTCTGCCCGTCAGCCCTCCGCCCCACCTTTGTTCCTCCGAAGGCTCCTGGGGAGACCCTTGCCTTGGGGCCTCGACTCCGCAGACGAGTCGCCCCCTCTTCAGGGTCCGGGTTTGGGGGACCACCCCGCGGGCGCGCCCCCAGCTCCGCGGACCCGGGGGCCTGGGTGAGCGAGGGAGACGCGGGCGCATCCGCTCCCGCGCGGCGGCTCGGACACGCGGACGCCCCCTGCCCCCACCCCGGGTCGCTTTTGCTCAGCGGAGCCGGTAGAGCCCTGGGACGCGATCCGCAGTTAGAGAGGTAGACGTCTCCAGGTAATCTCGTGTCGCTCAACCGTGTCATTGGGCGGGCCTGCCAGAACTTCCGAAAGGAAAAATTCAGGGAAAAGTTGAAGTGCTCTGCTGTCCTGGTATTTTCTTTTCCTTGGCTGGCTGTGTGAGTGAGAAAACTGCTGTAGGAGTTATTTTGCCACCTGCATTACTGATGGTAATTACAGATTACTGCAATTAAAAATGCTCAGAAAATATCAAGAGGAAATCAGGGTGATAAACTAGAAAGTGCTGTACTAAGATGCCTTTTGGAGGTTGTGATTAAAGAGAGAATTTTTGACAAATATAAAGTGATAATGGAAGATGTTAGCATTGGGGGATACTGGGTGAGGGATATTTCTGTATTTGCAACTTTTCTGTAAATATAAAATTGTTCCAGAATTTAAAATGTATTAAAAAAAGAAAAAAGGAAATCACACCAAACCAGTCAGTTTATGTCAGATTGGCAAATGGAGAGCAGAGAGGTACCCCTCCCAGTTTTATAATTACTTGCTAAGGATCATTTTGATTAAGTGTGCTCTTTTTTTCTGGATAAGAAGTTAGTAATTAGTGTGGAATATCTTAAATGAGTTAATCTTGTGTTGTGGAATATGCAGTTAAATCATTGCTTGAAATATATTTCGGAAGTCTTCTGCAGATCGCTAATGAAGCGTTTAAGACTCATGGAAGGCAGTGATGAGCCTTTGTGGACTAAGGACAGTCTGTCACAGGAGGAAATAAACGAAGAAAGTCAACTGGTTTCGTGTTTATTTCTTGACTTACAGTTTAGATAAGGCAAATTTTCAAAGCTAAAATGTTGGCCTTAGGCACACTTTGGAAATGTGAGACACCTTCAGGGTGATCACAAACAAAAGCATTTGCAAAAAGTATTTCAATTTTCTGTTGTTTGTGCAAATTTGGGATGGGAATGGGAGAAGAAGTTAAACTGAAAAACTAGCATTGTGGGCACTGAACGAGCCAAGAGCTGTCATAATCTTCTGGAAATAGCTATTACACTATTAATAATAGCTTAACAGTACACCAGCAAATCACCCCAAGGTACCATTGGTTTGGTAGCTATTATTACTCTGCTCCTAAAGGTGCAGGGAATTGTGCCTTTGTAAATTTCTTTTTTTTTTCATTTGAGATTTGTATAAACAGTCTTGATTTTTAAGCAAACTGTTTGACCAATCCATTATATTTGGTTTGTGTTAAAATAGTATATACCATGTCAAGACTTCTTTTCCCAGCAAATGTCAGGATTTTATGCCTAGACATGATTTAAAAACATTGGCTTTAAAATAAGACTTAATTTTAACTGAGGATAAATTAAGTTGTTGGATTCCTCCCACCACCTTTTCAAAGACGTTTGCCTTTTTTAAATGTGTATCTGTTTTTAAAGGGCCTGAGTGACTGCCAAGCCCTAACCTTTGTTGATTACTTGAAAAGATAATCAGTCTTTCTACATTCACTTTTAGAGTAGGTAGGGGACCTTTAGGCCATTTACATATTTCATTTGTGTGTTGCAATGAGAAACGAGCCTTTAATCTGCTGGTTAGAATCGTGCTAATCCAGAGGAGTTCTGAGCATTAAAATTTTTTTTCCTTAAAAAAAAAAAACCACTGCTTCATTTGCTGGAGTGTTTTCACTTTTTCTGTTTATTGACTTATTAAATAGTACAAACTGAACAGTTGTTGAGACTGCTTACATTTCAAGTTTTTGGAATCAGTAATGTTTGCTTTAATCTTTTTAATTAAATCTATAAGACTTACCAGAGATCTCCGCTGATTTTCTGGATTTTTTTTCCCACCAAACTGCAATGTTCAAATGAAACAGTTCTTGCACAGTGTAGAAAAGTAGTAAAGATTTTTAAAGGCAGATTTCCCCACCTATTTTCATAAAAAAAAAATCTCTTTTTGTTCACTGGCTTCATTTGTTGTAGATTCTTAAGTGTTTATCTCTAAGATAAACAGTTAACTCCCATGCCAGAAAATCATGCCTCCTTATTGATTTACAGTCCCCCTTGGCCACATTCCATGCTCAATCTGCGGGTAATCAGTAGCATATTCAACTTTCTCATATACCCCCGAGGAATAAAGGAAGTATCCCTTTCTGCCCCCTCCTTTTCTCCCCCTTGTTTGCGAACAGGAAAGTTTTTAAGGCATGGTATCAACAGGAGAAAGAGGGAAATAACATGTAACCAGCATGATGGTTGGACCATATATATTCTCTTTAAGAGGGTTCGGGCCTGACTGCATATGTTTGAAGAGAATGGATGTTCTCTTTTGCCTCACTTTGTCCTTGTGTTTGTTTATGTAAAGTGTTTGAATAGCCTGGCATTTTCTTGGAGTGTGGTGTTTTTTTTCTTGCCAAATAGTAAATCCTGGGTTCCACTGCAGGTTAACTGTAGGTTTTCCTGGCTGCCTAAATTACCTTATATTTTACTGGCCTGCATTAAAGTGGATTGTCTTCTGGTCTTGTCTTAATTTACTTTACTAGGGTCATTGATGAAACAATGTGCTGTTTTATTGGGAGATCAAGGAATTGGTTGTTTGGTTCTTTAAAAATCAGCTTATGGTTTTCTACCTTGCAGTAGAAAAGTATACAGATACACACATGCACACACACACATGCATATATATATATGTTTTTAATTTCTCTGAAGCAAACGGCCAGTGTTGGTTCTTCAGAATGAAGCACTTTATCCACAGCGGCGCTCCTATACTAGTGAGGATGAAGCCTGGAAGTCTTTCTTGGAAAACCCTCTCACTGCAGCAACCAAAGCCATGATGAGCATCAATGGAGATGAAGACAGTGCGGCTGCGCTGGGCTTGCTCTATGACTATTACAAGGTAGGTTTGCCTGCTCTTTAAAAAGCCTTAATAGTCCAAGATGCATTAGATTCACAGCATATAAAACAGTACTTTGCTAGTAGAATGTAATACAAGTTGCTTCTGTAGTGACTATAAATAGTTTAATGAGTACTTTGACTTACTCTAGTTCAAAGCTGAAAATCTAGGATCATAGAATCAAAAGGTTATTTTTAAAATGTAACGTGTGAAGTAGCCAGCTGTTCTGGCTCTGAGAGGTGAAGCTACCATAAAAGAAGATGGTAGATGTGTCTTAGTGAGAAGGAGTATTTTAACCAAAGGTACTCGTCAGCGCCATCAACAGTGGACAGTAGTTCCTTCACCTGTGCTCCAGCCTGTGTTCCTCTGTAGTCAGAGGGATGTCCTTTTCTCTAAATGACATTACAGAGTTTTTGATTTGTAGGATTCATTTAAAAAGTTTGTTTTCTAGTCTAGGACTTTCTAGTTCCAAGATCAGGGTATATTTTGTTGCCTGTTTCTAGAGATTTGGATTAGTCTTAATTAAGTATAATCTATCCTCTGCCTGGAGTTCCACATGATACTCGTATCTGGAGGTGACATCACTGCTGTGTATCACCACGGTCTTAATAATGCTAGCTGCCACTTACTGGTTACTGTGTTTTCCTAGACGTGTTACCAACGTGTGTTTGATTTCTGATCCCTCCAGAAACCCTGCAAATATGTGGTATTATCCCTCTTGCAGATGAGAAGTATAAAGTTCTTGGGTCACACAACCGGTATGTGTTGCAGCCGGGTTCCAGGCCTGGCTGGACATTGTGTTCAGCATGTGTGCATTCCTTGTGGGAAGCACTTTACTTGACATTCTTCTTTCTGACCACTAGTGGATACATGGGAGTGGCTGTTGATTAGTTTATTTTTGTTTTTAAAACTTCTAAGCCTATAGAAAACTTAAAATAGCAGGGTAATTAACCTCAAAATACTTCTGCCTAGATTCACCAATTGCTTGCTTTTTGTTACATTCTGGCACTGTGTTCTTTCCTGAGTACAAGAAATGCAGAGGGAAAAAAGCAAGAAAGATAGTTTCTGATTATCAAAATTAGGATGGCACCTAAACAAAAGATTTAATATTTTTTGATATGAGCCCAGGTGTCCAGCTTGTTGTGTTTGAGGTCCTAAGGTAAGGTTTTTGTTTTAAGTGTGAATGGAGGCTTACATGATAACTATTGATGCTAGAAGAAACCATTGCCTGAGAAGTGTAGCCATGAAGTGTTCCTTTGAAGTGGAACACATTAAGTATTTGTTCTTCTTATGGCTTGTTTTATTGACTCAGTCGGTGTAAAAACCGTATGTTCCCAAGCATTAATTATGAAGTTTGAAGTTACATATTTTTAACTGGAACTTTTTGAGAATGGGACAAAACCTGCAAATTTAGTACCAGAAAGACTGGTGTAGTAGCACTAATTGCAGTGGTTGTATGTGTGTGTGTTTTAAATACAGGGCCCTAAAAGTATTTTACATCTCAGGAGATAAATCCTCATGTCTGTCCATCAAAGATGACAATCTTAGTAGAACTGTATGTCAGGCTTCCTGTGATAGGTATAGGGTTATTTTCTTTTTGAAATGAACTGACTTGTTTCAATTCTTTTGATAAAACCATCAGTCATTTTACATAAGAACTTTGGTAAAGTTTTAAAGACATATTGTTAATACATGAAACAATAACTTATTTTGTGTTTGACTGTAAAACAAGAATGTAGGAATAGGATTTGAAAACTAGTTTCAAACATCCTAGCAATTTTGGAGTACGTGTGGGGAATAAGTCGCAGTTGGGTTGATGTCTGCAGTACACCCTATAATGTTTGCCTGCTTTCACCTCCTGTGCAAAGAACTTAGTCAGAAAGGGAATGGAACAGCCTGAGTTTGATCTGTCCTTTGGGTAGTGGACAATGTGAATCCTGAACTATCTAAAGAAATCTATCATTTGAAACAAGCATTTGGATCTTGGAAGTCTACCATTAACATACCTGATCCTTTTGATTTTGCATTTGATCTGAAAGGAATGGAAGCAGAGATGAGCAGTGAAAAAGATGAAAGAGCCAGTTATGTTTTCTGTAGCTTCTTCTCTATTACATTATGGACATAATTGGGTAAAACCAGGCCAGAGATATTTCTTTTAAGAGATAATATATAAACTCAATGACAAAGTTAATTTGTGATGCCCTGAGTTTCTTTGTCAACTAAATAATTGTTGGTTTTTACATATTGTCCTGGTGACCAGATTAAAAACTCTTGTGGGTAGTCTTATTTATAATGTATCCCCAGAGCCTGGTATTTGCTAGGCAATCAGTAGATATATGACTGTTGGACTGACTGAAAAATAAAAGGCTGTAGCTATACTTCACTGAGTAAGAACTAAATTATTGTCATGTATGTTGTTGTCTAAGGTTCCAAGAGAGAGAAGGTCATCAACAGCAAAGCCTGATGTTGAACACCCAGAGCCAGATCATAGCAAAAGGTAATGTCTAATGTAGAGCATAAAATAGTGCAAAACTTGAAAAATGCCAGGTTTCTGTAAAAATAGAACAAAGAGTTTAACTGAACAAGTGCCAATGAAAGAGACAGGTAAGTGGACTCTCAATATTTAAATTCAGATTTTATTACTGATTTGCCTCTTACTAAATATGATTCTGTGACCTAGTTTACCTTTTCTGGAAAAGAAAGTCATTAATTCTCCTCCAAAGGGATTTTTTAGTCATAATGTAAGTGAAATGTTTGCTTTTTTGTCTTTGAGATTCTCTTAAGAAGGATGTGGCTTAAGGCAATAGTGGGGATGCATTAAAAATTAAGTACCAGTGATCTTGAATAACTGCCTAAATAAAACTTAATGAAGTACATTCAACTGTATATATTTTTGAAATATTTTAGATTAAATCTTTCAGAAAATTAAGTATTGACTTTATAGACATGAAAAAGTTTTTTGAATATGATTTTTAAAATTGCACTATATTCTATTAGTAACAGGAATAAAACATTTCAAAGAAAGAATAATCACTCAAAATCCCACTAACCTGTCGATTTTTTAATTTGCTATTTGGATGTACACACACATCTTACATGGTTGTGGTTGTGTTCACAGGTAGGATTTAGTAGTAGTCTTTCTTCTCCTTAGTACAGTACGTATCTTAACTTGGTACAGTGCTTAACTTGGTACTCTTAAAAGTCACGAGATTTTGGTTGCAGAGTCTAGTTTTGAACATAATGGAGATGGGTGGGAAAGGTGGGAGAAGGAAATAATGAAGCACCTTGTAGGGGTATCTTCATAGATTGTTCTCATTTAATTGCATGGCATATAAAATGATTCTGTTTTAATCTTCACAATGACCTTTTGGAGAAGGGCTATGGCTTTTATTTTTGACTTTTTATTATGGGCATTTTCAAACATAACAAAGTAGAGAAATAGTGTAAGCCCACACGTACCATTACTAGCTTCAGCAGCTACCAACATAATTGCTCTTGTTTGATTTACTTTTCCCTGTTCTCCAACTTTTAAATCAGTTAATTTTTTATTTTATTTATTTTTGCTGGAGTATTTTAAAGCAAAACCTAGCTATCCTTCACATTAAGGCTGTATATGATTTTTTACTATTACAAAGCCTTAGTGGACAACTTTCTAGATAGCTTTTTCCTGTTTTTCCTCTTTCTCTTTAGGATAAATTCTTGGGAGTGAACTTATGGTTTAAGGCTTTAACATTTTATTGATCTTGAAATGTACAAAACTGTCAAATTGCTTTCTTAAAGTTATCAGCCTATATGATTTGAGGGGACTTTGAAAATTCATTAATTTTACCCTAGACTAGAAATCATCTTCTCTTGTCCAGCATATTTATTAAACCAAAAGTAATTTTGTGCAAATATGTATCTACAGGTATAGTGTAGTCACAGGTTTTCTTTTGGGGAAAGAGAAGCCAAATAAACAAAAGTATTGGGAATAGTGGAGGCCACGTGGTAATAGGTCATACTTCCTGCATCTTCGGTGCCGGGCATCATTACATGCATTTCAGTGTATCATTTCATCCTCATCACAGTTTGGTGAGGAGAGACCCCATTATTATCCCCATTTTATAGGTGAGCATGTACTTACTAGGAGATGAAGTAAGTAGCTGAAGGTCACACAGAATTTGAATCAAGGCAGCCTGGCTCTAGAGGCTGTATTTGAACCAACTAATCACAATTGCAGCTTCAGGCTTCTAGTAAAATATGATTTTATTAGTATTATTGAAAATAAAATAGTAGAGGAAAGCTCTGAGTTCTCAATATTTCAGTAAGAGTCATGAGGTCCATATCATTTAAATCTTTCTCGGGAGTTGTATTAACAATTTTACTCTGGACAAGAGAGAGTTCTCAATATTTCAAATGAAATTTTACTCAGTACTTTGGATTTTACTTGACCTAAATTATGAAGTCTTTTCTTTCTCTAGTAGTGGGCTGTCATGGCATTTTCTGTTTATTTGGTTTCTACCAGGTGTATTGTTATTGCACAGGACCCAACAGCCCAGTGCTATTAGGAAAATAAAATTTGTCAAAACAACTGTATCAGCATTGAGTTTTCTTTTCTTCTCTTAAAGAAACAGCATACCAAATGTGACTGAGCAACCCCTCATTTCTGCTGGAGAAAACAGAGTGCAAGTACTGAAAAATGTGCCATTTAACATTGTTCTTCCCCATGGCAACCAACTGGGCATTGATAAGAGAGGCCATCTAACAGCTCCTGATACAACAGTTACTGTCTCCATAGCAACGATGCCTACCCACTCCATCAAGACAGAAACCCAGCCCCATGGCTTTGCTGTGGGAATCCCCCCAGCAGTATATCATCCTGAGCCTACTGAGCGGGTGGTGGTTTTTGACCGGAACCTTAATACTGACCAGTTCAGCTCTGGCGCTCAACCCCCAAATGCTCAAAGGCGAACTCCAGACTCTACCTTCTCAGAGACCTTCAAGGAAGGCGTTCAGGAGGTACAGGAAATTCAAACATCTTCCTAAGACGTCTGTGTGTTTGTATAAGTATTGGGTTCCACCTCTTCCGTGTTATGTAAGCTTGAAACTCAGCCTGGAATGAATGGATTAAGAACAAAAGGTTTGCTTTTTTTTTAAAGAAGAGAAAAGGCCCATGGGTATAATTTGTAAACCAAACCTATAAAACCAGAAATTATTATCAAGGGCACATGGCTAATCTTACCAGCAGCTGAGTTAACAATTATGATTTCAGCTAAGTGATTTACTAGAGAAAGAGAATCCCATACATTATCTTCCATCAACAACAGATAGATCTACATAGTCTGTTTTCAGCTTTTGTCCTGGACCAAAACAAGCTCCCTGCCATGGTCTTAAAAGAACTTATGTATTTGCTTGGTGTCTCTTGGTAGTATAGTCAGGGAGGGCAGGTAGATCTAGATGACAAATACAGTGTATGAAATTTACAAATTAACTCCAAATAGTTATGAGGGAGGGTTCACTGGTGATGAACACTTTAGATAAAAGTTAGGGACTGAAGATGTTTGAAACTGTATTTAATGAGGAAAAGGAGCATCTGTCTCTGCTTATGCAGTTAGGAGTAGAATAGTAGCCTTCCCTGAGAAAATGCACTGACACATCTGGCCATCGTGCAAATCTGATAGTGTATCTTAACTTGGTACAGTGCTAGAGTTAACTCTTAAAAGTCATGAGATTTTGGTTGCAGAGTCTAGTTTTGAACATAATGGAGATGGGTGGGAAAGGTGGGAAAAGGAACTAATGAAGCACCTTGTAGGGGTATCTACATAGATTGTTCTCATTTAATTGAATGGCATATAAAGTGGGTATTTTTTCTTTTGTTAAAATGTTTTTTGTGGAGTAAAGCTTTTAAAGTGAATATTGAATGAGTAGTGGTTTGCTGTAAGCCAAATACTTCTGTGCTGTACCAAACATTGGTCTTTAGTAGGCCTGATAACCACTTAAATAGTTGTGGCTTATTACATTGATATTTCAGGTTTTCTTCCCCTCGGATCTCAGTCTGCGGATGCCTGGCATGAATTCAGAGGACTATGTTTTTGACAGTGTTTCTGGGTAATAACTGTCTTTTAATTTGATTTTAACTTTCAGCTTTTATGACTTCTTTTTTCGTTGATACTGGAAAATCAGAGGTAGCATTAGCGGGTTTTCATCTGTATCTTACTAAGGTTACTGTGGTAATTTCTTTGCTAGAGGATATTTGCTTCAGTGCATTTAACTTAGAACTCTGAACTTGTGTTTCATGTTCCCTTAATTCTTGGTGTTGGTGCTTTTTCTTTCCTTTGGTGTCTTCATGTGATGGTTGTAGAATGGAATCAAGAAGTGATAAGGGGATTGAATTAATCTCTGAGGGCCCTTCTGTTTGTAAAAGTGTACAATTCTGTGAGAATTTAGAAATAACAGGTGGATAAAAGCTTACTTTTTTTTATTAGCCTTACTAATGATAAAACAAATGAAGTCAACTTTTTTTCTGACCTGATAACCTCTTTTTTTAAGCCTCTTAAAATTGTATCTCATACTGGGAATATAAATATCATCCAAGTTAATTATGAACGTATATAAATGCCTCCAGGTGTTTATAAAAGGAGTCTGTGATTCTGTTTTATAATTTTGTTAAGGAAAATCATTTAAACAATGATTTGTTTAAATCATTGTTTAAAATGATATAAAAATGTAGAATTTTAGAGGAAGTGAGACTTTCCTTAAAGACAAGGTACAGAAGTTACAGACTTAAGTGCCTGTAGGACCTAAGATCAGATAGTAAATAATTTAGGCTTTTGGGCCATATGGCCACATTGTGAATGCCCAGTTCTGCTACTGTAGAACAAAAACAGCTGTAGATAATACAAAAAACAAAGGATGTGGCTATATTTCAGTAAAACTTTATTTACAAAAATAGGTGTAAGTTGCCAACCCCTGACTTAGGAAAGTTATTAAACATTTTTACGGGAGTATATGCAGAGTACTATAAAGTAATAGGAAATATAGAGAGTTGTGGAGTGTCCATTTAGACATTTAAATTAAAAGCAAAAACAGCAAAAAAGTGTGTGCAAACCAATCAGATTTAATCAGAGGACTTCCAGCCAGCTGTTTGCAATCTTTGCCAGGTAAATACCAGATTGGCAGCATGTCTTGTGAGGATTCCTTCCAACTTCTCTTTCACTTAATATAGTATCTTTAATATCCTTAGCCTCTAAACTCCTGTTAACATTACTTCACAGAATTTCCAGTAAGCATTTTGTAGTCCCACATTTAAGAGATTTGAGGATTTCTGGGTTGCTTAAGATTATGTTAATCATGGAAAAAGTAGCCCGTGCTGTTTATATGTGACATCATCAGTTGGATGTTTCCTGGTAGTCTACTGTTTGCATACATCCACACTGAAGCATTTTAAGATTGAGTTAAAGCATAAAGGAAGCTTCCAAGAAAGTGGATTGGAGATCTGTGACTTTTGTTGTTGTTTAGGAACAACTTTGAATATACCCTAGAAGCCTCAAAATCGCTTCGGCAGAAGCCAGGAGATAGCACCATGACATATCTGAACAAAGGCCAGTTCTACCCTGTCACCTTAAAGGAGGTGAACAGCAGCGAAGGGATCCACCGCCCCATCAGCAAAGTCCGAGTAAGTTCTGCTCAGTTTATCCTCTGGGAAAGCTAGTCAGAGCTTCAGATTTCCAGGTATGAAGCAGATCTGAGTGAAGATCTAAAATTGCAGTTGTAAGCCCTAACTGTACAATCTAACACTAAGTTTTCCAGAAGATAACTCACCTATAGTGTCTTTACGTTGTAATGCACTCTCTTTCATAGAGTGTAATCATGGTGGTTTTTGCTGAAGACAAAAGCAGAGAAGATCAGTTAAGGCATTGGAAATACTGGCACTCCCGGCAGCACACAGCCAAACAAAGATGCATTGACATAGGTAAGTAGCTCCTGAGTCTGCTTTTATTCCCAGAGGTGCATGCATCCAGTTTTCTAAATCCAGTTATTTTTGGCAGTGATCAGCTTCCTGCCGAAAGCATTTGAATTTTTATGCCAGCTACTGATCTGTTCCAAACACTGTCCTTAGGCTCCTGGAATCAGTGCTCTTAACATTACTTCTTTCATAACGACATGTGCCCCATGCAGTGGTTTTCCATATGACACTGGGGCCAGAAGCAATGGCTACTCACATAAGAGTGGCAAATTTTGGTCTGCAAATTTTTTGAGGTGTATAATGTCTTTCTGTGATCCTAATTATTTGGCGATGACAGTAAGATACAGAAAAAAGAAAAGTCAATAAGTAAAAGAAAATACTGCTGATGTTAGTTACCTAGCTATTGCCCTGGGTTACATGCTGAACTGCATGGCTAACCTCTTCTATCTGTAAACAGACCCAGAGACTCATCACTTGGGGTATCGCAGCAGATTTGTGCAAATCCATATGTAGAGAAGTAGCTTTATGAAAACCCCTATTCTTGCTGTGTACATGATTTTTGCATAAAACCATTGTATCACAAGATGGCTTCTAATCTTAGTATTACTTCTTTTGCGTTTTGTAACATTCATGTTCTCTCTTCAGAAGAATTAAAAGAACTTAGTTTAAAATCTTGGTTATCTGGACTAGTTTTGTGACCTTGGGACAATTATTTAAAGGTTTAGACCTAAATATCCTAATTGTCACATAGCGGGAGACAATTAAATATATCTAAGCTTGCCTCTATTACAGAAATTCTTTGATTCTTTTTCTTCATTTTTTTTGAACTTCTTGCAACCCAACAAAATGTTGATTTAAGTTATCCAGAGGTCATAATATGAAAAACTGAATCTTATTTTGACCTGCTGTAATTTCTTTTTCTTTTTCATCACTCATATAGCTGACTACAAAGAAAGCTTCAATACCATCAGTAATATTGAGGAGATTGCTTACAATGCCATTTCTTTTACTTGGGACATTAATGATGAAGCAAAGGTAGGTAATGAAGGTCAGGGATTCCTGTACCTCCAGCTTTTTGAGGACAAGCAGGAGGAGCCTAATGATGCCTCTTACAGTTTTGCGGGTCTCCATCCCCTTGCTGGGGAATAGGGAGAGTGAGTGGAGCCAAGGAGACAGCCGATGGCCTTCAGTCGTGAAGTGCGTGAATCTGGAGTAGGACTCTGGGAGAGGAAATAGCTTTGTGTCACCAGCTTGGTCCTACCTGCTTGGTAGAGAAAGTTGGATTCTTTACTTTCTCTCTTCTCATTATTGCACATTTTCTGAAAACACAGCTTATTCCCAGAGCTTGTGAAACTATCCTTCTCCCCTTTCTCTCCCCTCCTTCCTCCAAAGTAGTCAATTTTTGTCAGCACATTTCAACACGTGTAGTGCAGTAGGTGAGGCAGCTGGGGGTGTGGGAACCTGCCACCGCACAGTTTGTCACTTGTCCTGGAGTCTGTCACCCCATTCATGTGCCTCAGTTGAAGTTAATACCTTTCTCCTCCGTCCTCCAGGCATGTTGTGAGGATTATGGAGACAGTGTCTACCAAGTGTTTGGAGTTTCTTCAAAAAGGACCTTCACAGGTTATTATTAGCAACACTGGTTCATATCATTCCCTTTAAATAGTATCTCATTTAAGATTCTTCTTTCTTGGGCTTTTACAAGTGACTTGCCTCCAATTCACATAGTCATTTGGATAATTGTAATTGAAGGTTTCTTGAACCTTTTAAGAAAAATTAAGCATATTCGTAAGTCTTTTCTGCTCTTCCCCCAGCATTCTTCCCTTTTAGTATAATCCCTCTCTCCACTAGATAGAGTTCTGGTATTTTTCTCTTTGGGTTATTTTAAAAATTGGGAGGTCAGGCAACACAATAGAAATACATAATTTTTGGACAGTTGTTAAAAAAAGATTGGTCTTTAGTATTTGTTGCAGTATTAGGAATGCTTTTCTGTATCATGAACTAGATACCAAGTTATCTCCTTCCTGTTCTTCCTGACCTCTTGTCTTTTCTTTTCTTTATTCAACAAGAATTTTAGCAGTTATGGAATAACACACTACATTAGGTACTAAGTATTGCAGAATCTCACTTTGTACTGCCTAGGGTTTCTTTGAATTGATAGCAGCCTATAAAAAGAGTTGGCCTTGTGCTCTCAGTGCCACTGTCCTTAAAACAAACTAGAGAAATACTTCCTATTTGCTTTTAGGGACTAATTGAGAAATTGTAAAGGAGGTGATTAGAACACCCAAGTCCTCAGTTCACTTTTCTGACTTACTTGTGACCATGGGTCAGTCCTTAGTTCATTAGCTCAATTTCTGCACCCCACCTCCTCTTTATCCCCCAGGAAAATAGAAGGGCCACAGTGGCCAACCCTCTTTCTTGTTTGTGTTTCATCAGGATTAATAAGCACTTGTCAGCGTTAGTGGAGATCTTGGCGGAAAGGCCCTGCATGTGGGCAGGGTTCTTTGTTTATTTGATGTGTCACTCTTTAGGGTGGGAGTAATGAAAGCCCAGGTGGCGGCTAGGGATAATGGCTGGTTTTATTCTGAAGGTCTTCAGCATATTTGTGATAAAGGGAAATATTGTTGGAGGCATGTTTTAAGTAGACTTACTAGCATCATTAATTGGTAAATTCAATTTCATTTCTCCTTCCAGACCCCAGCGCTGACTTGATTTTTAAGCCTTTGCCTGCTGCTGGAAGGGAGTTGTGCCATTAGTTAATGAGGCTGCTACCTTTTGAAGCTGGAATCAGGCATAAACTTACACATGTGTTGGAATTAAGTATCTAGATTTTTTGCCCTCCCTGGCCAAGTTTTCTGTTGTTACACTTTAAGTAATTGATGCCCCAGGGCAGCTAGGGTGAACAAATATACATGCAGAATCCTGTATAGACTTTTTTTAACTTCTTTTTCCAGAAGTAACTGCTCTATTTTCCAATTTCTTGTTCTTATTTAGGATGCATCTGTTTTTAATTCTAATTCGTTCTCCCACATAGACATAATAGTTCATTAGAGCTGTATGTCATTCCCTTCTCCCCCTACACACTTAAAAAAAAGGGGGTATCTGAATACACCCTTTTGACCATGCCAGGATTAGGAAAACCAAAATTTTGGCCCAGGGTTGACATATGAATCTCCCCTATAGCTCCTGCTGCTCACTTTGGAGGTGACCTATATTTTGAAGATGTATGTGGTTAAATTGTGAATGCCTAGGCTTATGTCCCAGTTTAGGAAAGACACTGTCTAAGCTAAACTCATACTGTACCTTCCCTGTATACACTTGTTCATCAGTGTAATTGTATACCTGCTATCACTTCAGAAACTTGAAGAGGTTATGGAACTAGTGAAAAATCATTAGTTTTGAAAGGTGGAGGGGAAGAAATTGCTTTGAAAGTCTTAGAAACAGTCCTTAAGTGGCCCTAAACTCTCTGCTGTGTGACCCATTTCATTCATTTTTCTGTACTCCACTTATTTGAGTAGTCAGACATCTTTTAAAGAGTCAGGAATCTCCGGACAAATTAAAGTTCATCAGACATCCCCGTTTCATTGTGAAATAACCTAACCAGATATCTTCCCTCCTGGTGTATAACTGAGATTACCTGCTTAAGGTAATTTCTGCAGGGAGAAGAAAAATTACCTTTGAAATATTTATAGATGGCGCTCTGGTAAGGGGCCAGAGTTTAGAATATGTACATGGTGAGAGCATTGCTCCTGTGGAGTCGAGAGAGCTGGGAGGTGAGGGGCACACAGGGGAAGGTGAGAGGAGGTCGTGCATCTGGACTGTATACAGATGGTGTCCAGAGCCAGCTGTGTAGCACTTCATAACTTGCCAGCACATACCCGAGTGCCTACTGTGCGTGCTGGTCTAGGCTAATGGCACTGGCATTGTAGTGCAGGTGTATTGTGGCTTAAATAGGCTTTGTGGAATGGCCTGACATACTAAGTATAGAGCACCAGCATTTCTAAGGAAAAATGTGTTTATACCACTTTACAGATGAACTTTGGAGACACAGATAATTTGTAAATTGGGGTTATCTGTTCTGTTCTAGTTCCAGTACTTGCAAAACCAAAGTAGCAGTTTTGAATAGGCTGTCCGTCCGGGCCTAGGGTTTAATATCTTGCTTGGATTGTAAGTCTAAGAGTTTACAACAGCACTGAGATTTGGTTAATGATATGTAATAAGGGCCTCTCAAAGCCTGAAGATCTAAAATAAATAGAGGAAAAGAAGTTAGGGAAAGAGAATGACCTTTTTTGAGTACCTGTTCTATGCTAGCCACTGAGCTGAGACGCCTTCCCTACCTATCTCTGGATGATACCTGTTTGCTGCTTGGTGGGGCTGCCACAGGAGGCACAAAACTAGACCTTGAAATGGACAGACAGTGCTTTCGACAGGGAAGAATATTTAGAAGTGTAAGAATTCTTATTAATAGAGTAGAATTATGGGTTGACTAGTATAAAGTTCTGTAGTAGAAGAACACTTTTATTACCAGGAAATAATGTATGTTGATTGTTGGGTAAGTGATGTTTAACTACAGAGGAGTGGAAATTATAAACCAAAAACAGCTGTATTGGAATCAAGTGAAAACTGGGCTAGCCAACTGTGAGAGAGCATTATAATCCAGGGGAGCACTAATAGGAGGGAGGCAATACCTCTTATGCCTTAGCAGCATATATATTGTTATAGTTAATTGGACAATATGGCAAATAGGAAAAGAGCTACAAAGCAAAGCTCAAGATTGCTTTGATCATCTGCATGTAGTTGTGATCTCCGTGATTATTAAGCAAACCTTTCAAAGATATAATGAACCCCAGGGATAACATATCTAACAGGTTTTTTCCAGTAGTGACTTCTCAATCCTTATGCCAGAAGTGGATTAGGGCTTAAGTACCATCCACACGGTTCATTTAAAAAATAGTAACAGCAGAGAAATTACTGTCAGATGTGCGCCAGGCTCCTGCTGGAGTCAGCCATGGCAAGGGAGAAGGTGGATGTGGAGTCTTGTATTGTGTTTTGCATCCATGGGTTAAAACAAGTCCAAGTTTGGGCCTTCCTCCTGCAGGGCTGCTGTGGAGCATAGTTGCTCTTTTATGTCTTTTATGACCTTTGGAAGGCAGCACTCCAATTCAGTTTGTGATGAGGTTTCTCATAGACAAGAAGGAACTGCGTCTTTTTCTTGATGGCATGATACTATCTCTGGGGGTGATAGAGCCAATCTAACATGCTTTTTGTCTTTTCATGGCTCAGTTCCCATGTGTTTTCCCTTCAGTGTTGTGCCCTGGCCTGTGAAGAAGGGAAAGGGACAGTCAGAGGTGGGACAAAATCAGAGCATCCCATTCCCTAGAGGGAAAACCTGTCAATGAGAGCACTTTGCACTTTTGCTTTGAATTATAAACCATGGGTTTGAAGAAGGAACTCCAAGGCCTTCTGAAGGACTGGCCTCCTGAACCAGATGTTTCATGTGTCATGGTGAGACTCTTGTTACAATAGAAGAGAAAGGATTAAAGTAGAATATGGGGCCCACCTAGAGTACTGAGAGGCTTTACCATTGGGGGTCTGTGTGTGGGTGGAGCACTGATATCTTTCCTTTTTATCTCCTCTCAGCAAAAATTTATGGGGTTCCTAGTGAGGGATCACAGAACTTGCAGCATTTATTCTGTGGGGGTGGGGGGATGACCATTCTGGTAACTTGAATTTAAGACTTGGTGTGTGCTTATGGGTTGTAGGTTTATGAGTTTAATAACAGTTTGTTGTTTTGTCTAAGCATAATGTTTGGAATTCATTGTGAGAGTAATTTTTAATTTGTTTGGACTGAGTACATTGCATGCATTTATAGAGATTCCATTCTAGTGAAGCATCAATCAAATGCTCCATTAAAATAAGGTGTTGCCATGTTTGGTTGTATCAAGCCAGGCAGGTTTGGTTTGTTTCACAACTTTAAATTTCCAGTGGGAGGGAGAAGGGAGAGAAGTGAGTCAAGTATCTTACCTGCAATTGCA